GTCCTGAGCTTGGTCTTGTTGAATGCCTTCCTCAATCTCCATTTCACCTAAAAACAAAGATGCGGTCTCGTTCACTTTTGTGCATTGTGTCGGCCTTCTTCTTCAAAACATTGAAACCACTTGGAGAATCCCAGGCAGAAAGAAAAAAACACTGCATTTTTCTCATGAGAGTTTTGGAGCCGGGAAGTGGATAGCCGATGGTTCGGAGCAGCTCGTAGCCCGTCGTTCCACAGGCAAACTTAAATTGGAGAGCTTGATTCACGGTTGACTTAGACCATGGCTTTCCCCTGCTGGTTTTTCTGGCGAGTACCTTTCTCTGGTCATCAGCCAGGAACTGCGGATCCTTGCCAAGCATGCGAAGTTGCTGCTCTCCGCTGTTTAGTTCCTTCTTCAGGGCGACAATTTCTTTCTTTGCAGCTTCATGATGTAGCTGGAGGTTCTTGTACTTCTTGGTAATATATCACTCACGGTTTCCTTTAGCTGAAGGCAACAGAGGTTTCCTGCTCGTGCTGACATGCTCTCTGGTGTGGATTTTATGCCGGGTGGTAAGTCGTGGTCAGGTGGTGACGCAGTTTCGACGGCGCCTTTTGGCGCCAGATCCATGCGGTCATCTTTTGAGACCTCGTCATCATAAAAAATGCAGTGATCTTCAGAAATGCAGTCATTTTCATAATTGCAGTCATCCTCAGAGATGCGGTCAACCTCAGAGGTGCGGACATCTTGCAGGAACGTTGCCGAAGTGGTTGCTGACGTATGAAGTTGACGTCTTGCAGGCAAGCTGGAGGAGCCTGTTGCTGGATCTTTGCGTCGTTTGTGAATTGATGAAGTAGCCAAACCTCTTGGCACCAGCTCTACAGAATCATCTTCAAGGATGAGGTCATCTTGCATAAACGCTGCTGAAGGAGCTGCTGACATAGGATATCGTGTGGTGCTGCATTCTTTTGAAGTGCTATTCAAGATCTTTTAAAAAAATGTCCCGTCAGTCAAGGCCTGGATAGGTGATTCATGAGAGGTTCCAAGCAGTCTATCAGTGCAACCTTTCTTGGAGGCAGTGCTTGGATTTAAGTTCCTGAAGAAAATTGTGTTGCTCATAGTTGGGCTATCCTGAAGTGGCTCCATGGCTCCCGGCCCTCCAGCCACATTGGTTGAGTCCCTGGCTGGCTCGTGGGGTTGTGGCACTGCAGCTTTCTTGGGGCTTGCGAGGTTGCACATTTTTGGAGAAGCTGGAAGAAATTGAATGGGAACATAATAATTACTATGACTGTCACGAAAAGTAAAACCTTCACAATAAAAACCACATGAAAAATCTGGCGACGAAAAGGGAGAATATTGGTGGCGCTAAATATTGTTTACAGCTCAGATAAGAATAAAATTGTATAAAACGTTAGTACCTTTTCGTTTGTATTTGTTTAATTTTGTATACATACCAAGGGACACTAAATAACACCAGTTTGGTTAACTTAATTTCACCCTAAAACAGAAGTATTTGGAATACTCTGAAAACTTGCAAACTGCAGCACATGACGAGAGGACATATATCTGTTGTCTTTCAGCAAACCGGTCTAGCTTGTTTCAGTTGGTTGAGATTGTCACTTTACTCACCTTGGGAGGTGAACAATGTTGGCACGGCAGTCAGTTTCAGACGCTGCTACTCATCTGCTCGCCTGTACTCAAAGCAGGATTTTTCAAAGTGCTCCTGAAAAGGTATGCCAGGCTTTTAAACACAGCACAGCATGGAAGGGTTCCTACGTCTGCTAGACCTTATATGGATGGGTTTCATCTACAACATGCTGGATCAAATAGTGATTCGACGTTTCAGACGAATTCTGTATTTGCATAGAACTAAGCAAAACAGAAAAGTGGTTGCACTTTTTGGACAAAGTACTTTTATGATGTGGCGTTACGTGAGCTGCGTATTTTGATTATATATTTCTCTGCAAGACAAGACGCTGAAAACGTGTTCTCATGAGGCCGGTCCACTGTTAATAACGGTACATGTATCAGAGGGAGGCCTTTCTCTATTCCTCGTGGCACATTTTCTGTACATCGCTCCTGAGCTGATGTTCAGGAGCGATGTACAGAAAACGCGGACGGTTTTTTGGGGTAGTTAAAGAACGGCGATGATTGCGCGTCAATCGCTTTGTAAAAGTAGCGTTACGAATGCGAGCGCACGGGCGTCTCGCCCGCAGAGAGTGGTCCCCGAGCCTAGTCCCCGCCTCGACGGCCAAGATCTGAAGACGCGTTGTTTGATCGAGGGATATGAAGGGACCCTGTACTTCGTCTCACCTTAGCATAGACTAACCGCCAAGGCTGTGCCAGCGCGAGACAGTACCACTGACTGCCCTAACTGGCACTCGTGCTGCACGAGCGCTCGAACAGCCTCCGAGACGCCATCCAGGGCAATTCGCTCGCGATTTTAGCACGTCCGGCCAACAGTATTCCATGCTAAGCTGAGACGAAGTATATTTTCATCACTTCGCGACACTGTGCGCACTCGGGACCGAAAATTTTTGTACTTACAATGCAGACTAGCGAGTTAGTCTTCGGTTCCCTGAGAGGCCTCCTACTTCTGATCTGAGACATCCACGCCGTCCTCCGTTCCGGCTTCGTTGGGAATCGGTACAGCTTCGCACCATGTCTGGAACTTCCCCGACAAAACGGAATGCAGCACGCTGGCATCCCGCCTATAAAGCTCGCTCGCATAAGCGGGGATCGCATTTCGCTAACCAAGAAGATAGCCCTAACGGGAATTAGCCCTGTTACAAAATGGCTGACGAAAGTAGCGGGCTAACCAGTCTCACAACATTGGTTTGTCGGCAAGTGGTATTACAAAGGATGGCACCACTCTAGCCAAAGCGAACATGAAGGCACTCTACACAAGTCCCGCGAGCACACGATCGTGCGATTCAGCCTTATGAAATCAGAGGTCACTTTGCAGGGTTCACCGATGCTGCGTTTACACCTTCCAAAGGTTTTTGACGCCCATCACGAAAGGTGCCGATTAAAATGTTAAAAGGTTCGAACAAACAGGACAAAAACACACACGTACGACACGCATGGCACCTGTCCGCGTCGTACGTGTGCCTTTTTTCGTCCTGTTTGTTCGCGCCTTTTAACCTTTTAATCAATATGAACCAACTAGCACAAACCAAAGTTTTATTCCAAAGGTGCCCATCGAGGTCCAGGCAAACAACCTAGCGTGTCTACTCCTGGTTTGGCGTAGTTAGAATGTTTCTTTCTTTAACATATTTGTAATGATTTGCCCATAGAGTTCTAGTTTAATGCAAATATTAAAAAAAACGATCCTTTGTCAGAGAATTAGAAAAGCTCATTAAATTCCTGAAAAAGAAAACGATCACCTAGAACGTTCAATGGCTTCGCCGATTTATGTCATTTATGAATTATCAAGAAAATATTTTCGAAGAACTTATGCACAGGGAAATGTTTCTGAATTATTTATCGTAAAAATATAAAGCAGTATATCATTCGTTTATGCTTCTTTAGTCATTTGCACATCATGCTGGTCTTAACAATCGGTATATATTTTCAAAATTTTGCGGGGATTGTCTTGTTCACCTGGAGTAGCGGGACTGGGTTGAAAATATCCCTGTGGCATATCACGAAATAAATCTTGATGCATCTTGAAGGCACCCATTTTATGATTAAAATACAATTAAATGCGAAAGTGCAAGCGATTTAGGCAAGAATGACTCCAGGGATTGTTTTCGTCGTTACCCATTTTATAGTTGATGCGCGGTTTTGTGTAAATATTGTTACTTGCGGTGGCCTTCATACCGTCCGAAATAAAAACAAATCACGTACTGTAGTAATGTGAATTCTTTTTTCTTTTTTTTTTTTTTTTATAAAGATATTTGTGGTAGCCTTAAATTTGGATCTTTTCTTGTTACAACTTTATTGCACCCCTCAGCGCCCTCGTTTGAGTAAAGGCCTTTCTAATCATTTTAATAACATATAGCCAGTCTACAATAAAACAACGTTTCACTCCCTCTATTTATGACGCATCGTAGAACACTTAGTTCAATTCATAAGCGTCATTCTTTCTTTCTTTATTTCTTTGAGCTGACGACAGACTGTTATGCATTTTACTTACTCTTTGGGAGTAACTCCAATCGAACGCGTGACTGTGATAAAAGATCTCGGTGTGTGCCTTCATTGCGCGTTGTCATACAATGCTCATGTTTCCTTTATTGTTGACCGTGCGTTGAAAACTCTTGGTATCTTATCTCGTACAACTAGAAAGTTCAGACTCCCTGCTTGTATGATTCGTTTATTTTGTACTTTAGTTCGTTCACGGCTTGAATTTGCCTGTTTTGTTTGGAATTCTCTAACAAGTCCAGTTCTTTAAGTATTGAATAACTGCAAAAAAGAATGATACGCATTTTATATGATAGACATTTTCAGCGTCCCGTTTATTATGATTATGAATTTGTTCTTAAAAGCGTTTTACTTAAGTCTTTGTCAAACAGAAGACTCGAGCGTGATCTGATTTTTTTTCGCAGGGTTGTAAACGGTTGGACTGATGCTAGTCAATTTCCGAATGCTGTCAATTTTGATGTTCCTTGTCGCGTTAATAGAAATTTTACTGTCTTTTATATTCAATTCATGTCTAAACTCTCACCACTGTCCTGTATGCAAATTGCATTTATTCCATCGCATCATCTAGCTTGGACATCTTCCCATATCTCCCAGTTTTCCGCCAGAACTTGGCGATTCTAGTTGAAAGTTGAAACTCTATTACATTTTGTGTGAAGTGTGCGACCTATTTTTTAGTCATGCTGATTTGTACATTTTAAGCTGTGCGTGTGCTGTGTTTCTTCTATTTGTCTTGTGTACTCCAATGTGAAGACCCGCGTGGTTGCTTTGGGGCACTTTAAATAAACAAATTATTATTATTATTATTATAGCTCTCATGCGTAGCTCAGCAAACTTTATGTAGCACGGGTGCTATTGTGAAAAAAAAACGCATGTTGAACATCTAGTTTTAACTGTAAGTGATTTATTTTGATGGCATCCTCTTCACACCTTCTCATGGCGCAACACATATTCCATGTTTGCAGATCTGTAGGAAGATAGGACCAATCAATTTTAGAATCATGTCTTAATTTTAAATTCAGCGGACGTATCGTCATATATCGTGTTGGTGAAAACACCTTAAATTTGCAGGGACACCTTACCTTTGACGTTCCGCACCTGGTGCCATCCGGGGCTGGTGTTTCTTTTAACGAAGATCTCCCATTCACAATAGGCGTCCTACATCTTAGAATGCATTGTGCGAGGCGGTCGTCCTGCAAATAATGCTAGGATGAACTTTGATTTTATACTGTTACCTTATGAGCTATAAGACTTGGTTTTTAGGGGGCTATTTTGTGTGGCGTGCCTATTTACTGTATTTTGTGTTTTTTTGTTTTCATTTTCACACAAAATCGAAAATTTTGTCGAGGCTGTTCTACGCTGAGACCTCGGAGAACAAAGTATTGCAATTTATAGAATGACCAGCGCAAATACAAAAGGTACGAAGCCAGTTTCAGTGCGAAAGCGTTCATCTGACCAAGTCAGTCGCCGACCAGGGTTCATGAATTTCTGGGTTCTCTGGTAGTAAGTAAATGTACGGTCTCTTTGTAGCCTGCTGTCGCGTTGTGATCTTGTTTATTTTGAAATTTACCCCGTGCTAGAAAACGCCACCCAAAACGCTAAATAAAACGATGTAGGGCGCCAGGCAACCTAAAGAAAGTAATGAAAGATCTTCCGAATTAAACAGAAGTGTCAGGAAAATAATACAATTAAGAATGGAGACATGGTAATCCTGGAGCCGGGGAAGAGAAGGGACGTGGGACAGACACAAAACTCCAATGAATGGTTTTCGACATACCACAAGTACTTTGATTTATATTACTAACTATATCAATACTATATGACTTCCGAAATTGTGCTATTTCAGCTCCCAATTTTTTATCTGCTGCTCTACACGATGCAGTCGCCAAGGTTACACTTACCTATAGCACTTTTTTTAGTCTTAAACTGGTCGCGGGAAATCTCGCTCAGCAGGAAGTTAGTCTGCCTGAGAGGAAGAGCCTTGTACCGAAGTTTTGAAGGGTAACATTGGCTATACGAGTATGACATAGTTAGTGCCATTGATGTCCAGCAATATTACTTGCACATACTGGAGTAAAATTTCAATTCACCAGTTCAGATATAGCAACTACATTCGTTGTTTGCAGACTTGGGAAGAACTCCGTTAGATATGACGGATTAGTTGTAATTCAATACTTTTTGAAGTAATTATGTAATTTCCACGTGACTTTTTTTTCCGGCAGTAATTTCTAATTTAATTTTGTTACAAAATATTGGTAACGGATTACTTTAATTACACGTTAATTTTTTTAACATGAACATAATAAAGAAACTGGAGCAATACGAGCAGTCAGTTCAAAGGCATAGAGTGAGCAAGTTCAACAAATTTAAATAGAAACCATCGTGAAAAGAAGAATAGCCAGGCAAAAAATCAATTTTGCGTCTGACCGCTCATCAGAACCACTAGAAAGACGTGAAAATACTATGCGAAAAACAAAAACCAAGAAGACAATGCCAAGTAGACTTAGGTGCTTTCCATCGCCTTCCATCGCATTCTTCTTCTGAGAAACCTTTTCGTGTTTAATTGCATTTGAATTTTACACCACTTGAAAGGCCCGTATCCAATGGGAGCTTTCGTAGATCGGTTCCTTACCTCCGCATCGCCTAGCAGAGGTAGATTCTGCTACTGAACAGGCCCACCGCTAGCTTCGGCTGCACAATTCCAGGGATCATTTCCGGACGCTGTAAGCTAGCGAGATGGCGGTTTTGTTTGCAGCTTTCGCCGCCTTCTCAGCTTACAGTTCAGCCTTGCATTCACAATCTTCCTCTCAAGTGACGTATTTTATTTTTACATGGACTACCGGTAATACGGGCGTATGAGAAATAAAAAGTACTGTTGCAAAATATTTTTGAAAAATGTCAGAATTATTTCTATTGTTATCTATTGTTTTCTGGACAAGTGTACGGAAAAAGTAACGTGAAAGTAATTTGTAACGTAACGAGAAAATGTAATCCGTTATTTTTCAGCGAAAGTCATTTGTAACGGTAATCCATTACATTTGGGGCTCGTTGATTCGTAATTGTAATCCATTACATTTTTGAAGTACCGAGCACAAGTATGGTTGTTTGCAGGCTTAGGGACGCAGAAATCTGTTCTCTGTTCACGTTTACGTAGCAGGGGGATCGCGGTGGCAGCGTGTATTAACGCGCCGGAGCTCAGAACATCTCCAGCGAATGAGATCAAATCGATGGAAATCAGCAATGAATCGGCGTGCGTTCGTGTTCTATCATTGCGGCATGCACATCAAAGACCCTATGCATCAGTCGTACAGCGCTGGCTAAATTTCTTATCTACAACGGAGGCATCAGACACCCCTTGGGGCAGAAGTCACTGCCTGAATTCCTGAATTCCGTAAAACCCATTACTCACAGGGGAGCGAAAAAAGCAGGGGCGAGCTATCAGAGACTTCTTGTATTAAAGTGATAACGACAAATTTTAATGGTTATTGCACAATTCCACCTTGGCACTTTTACAATCTCCAACGCCCCGGGCCTTTTTCCCGAGTGTCAATAACTCCGTCGACAAAATCCCTGCCTTGCTTCGCCCGAGTATCAATGCTCCTATGCTCGATTCCCCGCTATGCCAGTGCTGCGACTCATTAATCAGCTCTGCTATTCGTGATTATGTGTTTGCTTAATGCTCATTAATCAAGCGAAGTTTTAGCATGTTTATTTACAAAGAAGTGTCTAGTGTTTTGTATGGGAAATGTCTACGCTACTTGAATGCCTCAAAATCCCTGGATCAACTTCAAGAACCCCCGAATATTCAGCCTGCCGTTGGACAAACCTTGGTTTTTGTCAATAACTTTTCCTCACCGTGGCTATGCAACTAAGAACCCAGTATTTGAAACATCTACAAGCAGTTTTATAATTTTCGTTCTTTCTCTGAAAGCAATAATTGAATCCGTCGACTACAACAGCCTTTTTGCGTTCTCAAAAATGTTTCCTTCGTGTGCCGCAGCCTGCCTGGTTTGGAAAGAATTTGCGACTTTAACACTCTTAAGCATAAATACGGCTCGCTGTGACAAATGTCTGTCTTCGCCATTTTTCGCAGAAATCAGGATTTTAAATAAGATAATGCCAAACTGAGGAGTACTTTCTTATTGCAGTTGTGTAAATTATATCTCTGTTAACGTCCAGTTTGTGCCCTTAGCGATAGCGAGTTAAATTTGTTCGAGAGGTGCGGCAAGGTTGTTTAGGCACGTGTCAGCACGCGGGAGGTGTTTTATCTGGTTGATTGGTTTGTTTTTCTACATCCCCTTTCTCATTTATTTTCTTTTTCGGGCACAATTAAAACTTCCAGCAGCCAATCAGCTTTGTGTCTGTGGGCTCTTTCCAATACTCCGTTTTTCCGCCTTTTTTTAAAATTTACGTTGAACCAATTAGCTTAACTCTAATCCTTGTAAAAATTGAAGTCATGTGTCACATCTTACGACTTCAATATCTGAACAATGCACAAATCCACAGTGTTTTGGTCTGGCCGGACAAGGAAAGTAGGGCAATCGAGTAGGTCGGGTGTGTGTAGGTGGTTTCAGAAAGCTGGGGACTGGGGATTTGGGAGAGGGGGTTGATAACGCGGAGGATGTGTAACGGGCGTTTTAAGACGAGGATTTTGAGATTGGGTCTTTTTGTGTATCACCCATTTTTAGTGCCTGAATGATTTACCGGAAAAAACATATCAGCTCAATACTGAGGACTGTCCTTATGAAGAGGCATATAGTACTGCAGCGGCAGCAATCAAGGCAGTGGGCATGCAATTATCTACTATTTTGATTATTTACCCGAGACTGGGTTGAGAGAACTAGAAAACCGTAGAACACAATAAAAAAGTGACAGAAGGATAAAGTCTCAAACTCAGCTAAAAGTGTATTCACTGCACCTCTCTTTTATATATATTCTACCCCCTAGGTCGCCACCCTTTGCACGTAGAAGGTCACTTTATTTACTGCGCTCACAGCCAATCCTTGTTGCACACCCAGAACTCTTCGGCTCTGCCACTTGTCCCCCCTTTGAACACAAGCAGTTTGCGCCGACTCGCGAGTACACGCACGTAGACACTTAGAGAGAAAACCGAGACGGCCTCCGCGAAATGGATGCGCCACTGGCATTCACTTCGAGACGTCCTCCTTTCATTGAACAAACATTTTTTTTTTTCACGAACTACAAAAAGACACAAACAAACAAACTGAAATTTGAAGGAAAGCTTAAGCGTTATTGAGCTGCAAAGACGCTTGGCTTTTGCAATCGCCTATCGTCTTTATTCTAACAGTTTCTCTAACTACTCTTCATTTCCTTGCGGTCTTTGTGCACGACATATGTTTCTGACCACTGGAATGACTCATTTCTGCATACTTGGCATGATTCGCTACTTATGAGTTGGGAGTTTCGAATTTGGCTTTTCGCCAATGCTCACTTAATTTCCCTAAATGTTATTTAGAAATTAAGGGAATGCCTTCAGACAGCTGCGCGGTGAGGCGAGAAAATCGATTCCGATTGTTTGGAAGGGTCGATGAGGCGGTGTTAGGAAATGGAAAGGGTCGGAAGAATGTGTGGTTCGGCTCTTGCAAAGCTGACATTGGTCACACGTGCGAATGTACTTGTTGATGCTGCGATACATGCCGTTCCAGAAGTAGTCTGAACGCACGCGAAAGTATGTCTTTGCGAAACCGAGATGTCCAGCGGTAGGGTCATCGTGGTGTGCTTGGATGAGTTCGTTTTCGAGGGTCCGAGGAACAACGAGCAGCCAGGGTCGTCCATGTGACGCGTAGTTCCGCCTATAGAGGACACCATCACGAAGAGTGAAGAGACTAGCGCGCTGTTGAGTGTGCCGCGTGAGAGATCCAGGAAGCCCCATCAAGCATCGTATTAGTGGCCGGATATTCTGATCGGACCAACGAGGTAGAGGGGCTTAGAGTGATAAACCGGAAGTCCGCAAGTGGAACCCCCCCTCCCCCCGGTTGCCGCTATGTTGTACGCAAATCTGACCACTCGTCACGTGACCTCCCAAGAGCCGTGACGTCACCGGTAAGATGGCAGCGCCCAGAGCTGGCGCATGCGGGTTTGTTTGGTGCGCGGTAGCTGTGATGTGGAGCTGCTTTTCGACGACTTCGGGCTTCCTCGTGCTCGCTGACGCAGGTATAATGTAAAAATATGG